TGATTCACTGATTCAGTTCGGAGTGTTCGAGTGTGTTAGATAAAACTCCGAAATTTCACGCTACCATAGTAATAATAAAAGTACTAATGAAGTGATCTTAAATGGACTTATAAACGAGATTTCATCTATAATATAACTGCATTTATAATTTAAGAAACGATCTCAAGCCTGTGTGTAGTACACTTTAAAACTTTCACGCGAAAAAAAAAACGCATGAAATGAGATTGCTGGTGTTCATATTATAAATTCAACAGAAAACGGTGTATATATCTAAAGTCACTCAGTTGAGTGCAGTTTGTGGATGCATTCATAATTTGTGAATGCATTCTCGAATTTTAGTTCANNAACGTATGTTTGCATGCGTCTAATTCTATGCAGCAGCAACAAGCAAATATTCAAAAAAACCAATGCATTGTTTATTCCAACTACTGAACACTAACTACATCATTCCGTTCACATTCATGCTTTCCTTCTTTTGTTTCTTCGTCATTTATTGGCTCCACAAGTGTTGTGTACTTTTGATTGTATTGGAGTTAAGTGTTTGCTTGGGGATGCTGCTTATGGATTAAACGTTTTTTAAATGCAAAATCTGAATAGGGCACCGTGAAAATGATATTCATCCATCCGAATCGATTGCGTATGCAATTTTTTGCATCAACTTTAATGGTGATTTTCTGACGACGTATTACGGTTGCTTTTTTAAGGCTTAAATGCATCATACATCACGTATACTTATTTATGTGTGTATATATCTAAAGGCACTCAGTTGAGTGCAGTTTATGGATGTATTCATAATTTGTGAATGCATTCTCGAATTTTAGTTCACGATTCACCAGCGTCGTCATCAAGGCCAATAACGGCGAATAGCAGCAGTTTACACGCTTCACCGATGCGTTCGTTGACGAGTGCATCGGGTGGATTGTACATTAGTGCGCCGGGCAAGATTATCCTGTTCGGAGAGCATGCAGTTGTTTATGGAAGGGTTGGTTTATCATGGGATTGACTCGTTCGCTTGATTGCTTTCGCACTTGATACTATTGATGGATGGATATGTTTCGTGAGCTCGAAATATTATTTTTTTGCATCAGTTTTATTTCTTTCCACTTTTTTTGCTGAATAAATATCTCCTTTGGGATACATGAAAGCCAACTTAATGCATATCTTTGAAATAAGATATCACATAAGCGTGCTTTAGGACCACAGAGGGAATGACGAGATTGGAAATGGAAATTTAGATATAACACATCTTGCTTTATTTTCATCGGCGTTGAACGACGCTTCGAACATTAAATGAAACTTACGGATAGCATTGAATAAATATTGCGGGATAACGTTTTGATCAGAGAGAAGTTAGTTTTTTTAACGGAAACTGGCGAGTTTACTGAGCGATACGGATGTGAAACTGTCACTGAGCGATTCGATAGTGAAATTTATCGGTTCTTAGTTGTGCCTGGTAGTGCTGTCTTTTCATCAAGATCACAGATGATAAATATTATCAGGAGCAATGAATTGCAGACAGCTGTCGCTGGTTCAATAGATTTACGTACATATGTAAGTTTATTTACATCAGCAGATGGAAGGATATATTTGTCGTTACCAGATCTTGGCGTTGAAAAAACGTGGATGTTGAAAGATTTAATCAAAGCGGGTGAACGTCTTGCAGGTGATTTATTTTCACTGATGATCGATTCAGTATGACATTACTGGCGTTGTTTCATAGTATGTAAAATGAAACGTTCCAAATAACCCTTCAAAGAGGGCATTTAAAATAATATCGATAACAGATGTAGTTGAAGTTGGGTTTCCCTTCCTAATTGACATTATTACTTTCATCGTGAGTGATTGTTAATCTTATTCGATTTTTAAAATCGCTATGAGAAGAATAACATCTCGCGATCGGTAATGAATTAGTTGTAGCAGCATTCAGTCTAAACGAACTCAAACGCTTTGTATGCCACTACTTGTGTTNAAGGATCAGTTTCAGCCGAATATCCACTAGATGACGGATCACCACCATCGTTAGAGATATTAGTACCGGTGGCCAGAAGGCTGAGTGGTTCTTGTGAGGACCAATGTGGTGTACAACATTTGGCAATACTCGCTTTTTGGTATCTTCTTCTTGGGGTCGTCCAACGAAAAAGGTTATTTTTTATCATCATATTATCTTGGACACTATCAGATGACAGCCATGAGCTGTGAGCAGATCCAACAATAATCTAGTGCCTAAAATGACTTTTGCCTTCAGAGATTTGCGAGATAACATAAATATTACGGTTACTTCAACATGCAATCCAACCATCTATCATGCAGTTCGATCCAAAAACGAAAATTTGAGAATGCGATGCTTGAAGAATAGTTGAATGAAGCAATAAAGTGTGGTGGGTGAACGTGTAGATGAATGCATGAAAATTTATCGAACCAGAAACTGATTCGTTGAAAAATTTCATTCCTAACGAAAATGCCAGCCTACTTGGAACATTTGAAGAGAATGTATTTTCTCATGTTATGGATGTGCATTTTTTGCGAGATAAGTTTGGGAATGGATAGTTGATAATGGCAATCAATTTTAGTGGATCAGAAGCATTGCTCCGTTATTTTTTATCAGGGAGTTGAAGTGGTTTGTAAGATGTAGACTGTTCGTATGCAGTGAAGTTAATTGGAATGAGAGAATATGACGGGAAACTGATAGATGAAGCGAAATTAATGCACATTATTCTAGTGCAATCGTTGACGAATCACTTACATCTGTTTTTAATTTGTTTTATGCTTATACGTATTTGAACTTTGGGTAACTCTCACGGTTAGTTACTGAGTACACACGAATCAGAATGAAACTGTCTTAATGATTGTCCGGTTGAAAAAGGTGGCAAATGCATACAAGTCGAAAAAAAAGTCAAGAATCGAACAAATACCGAAAGAAGAAGAAGAGAAACCATCGATGAACTTCGAGTCTTGAAAATGCATTTTTCTCTCCTTTGCAATTCTTTATTCTTTCTCGATTCTTCTCTATCAGATCGAGAAATCGAATTTTTGCATCATTAAAGTGAGTGAATGCAGCACCTAGACTGCATGAAGAATAAATTGAGTTATTTATCATCTTTGAGGATGGATGGGGTTGATGCACTTCCTCATTTGGTGTTTTGAAAAATTTGATTGGTAGTTTATTTTATTAGATTTATCCACTGTCGTCGTGATACTTTTTTATTTGCTTCTCTCCATTGATGGACGGAGATAATCATTTTCCGTAACTGATATCCTTTCTTCAGTTCCTTTTAATGGAATGCACTTCATCGAACGAGGAGTATTCCCTCGATCGGTTCCATAAAACTGTTTATATTCAGTTCGGTTTTGCGTTTCATTATTTGATGTTATCAAAATGAATTAATTGTTTGTGTGCATTTTGTTTATTTCATTATCTATTCAGTGATGATATAATGTAGCATTCTGCATTATCAATATATGTATATGTTCATATAAAACCTGGTATGGCTGCACAGATTAGTATGATGAATTTAATTGCGTGACTGATTACGTGATTAAATTGTGTTTTGTGCTCATATAGTGCTTGAAAAGCCGGTTGGTTACTCAAAGCTTTTCTTTGCTTCGTCTGGATTTCGAAAAGGATTACAATTGAGATTTCACGTTTAGTGTGTTGTCTCTTCCAGTATCTCGTTTTCAACTCATTGATCCATCCAATTTTTGAAGAATTTCACTTTTTTTTTAATTAGAGTTTTGAGATGTTTAACTGGTTTTATTTCCCGTCGAGCCGGTTACTCAGAGCTTTTGAGTAACCGGCTTGACGAGCAATAAAACAATCCTTTGAATGAGTAGATTACTCGAGGGAAATTATGCGGATTCCAGTGTCTGTAATTTTAACGTTTACAATTAGCTGATTACCATTAATCAGTGATTGCTTATGGTAGCGAATGCATGAAGAGTACACCTAAACTTTCTCATTGCTGTGATTATTTTCTTGTTCGAAGTGTTGTGTTGTGTTTGTTTGCATTTGTGTTTGCATTATACAGAACAATCGAATTGGACGAACTCAAGAAAGCGAGTGAATTCGATCAACAACACCAGACGACGGATAAAGACATCACTTATCCGGATTCACAGTTCGGGTCAGTTTTGATCGAGTAGCCGATTGATTATTCTTTTGATGCGTTCGTTTTGCTTTTGTTTTCATTTCATCGAATCACATTGCCTTGATTGTGGTGTTTGTTTTGTTCAGTTGATTGGTCATTTAAGTTCAGTTTTTTGATTCGTTGTGCATGTTTTCACCGTTCTAGCACGACTATAGTTCTTACGAAAGTTCATTTCTAAAATGATAACGGTTGTGACTAGTTCACTACCCGTTAAGTTGTAAACGGCGATGCGATGGTTGTGCATGTTTTCACCGTTCTAGCACGACAATATAGCTCTTACGAAAGTGCATTTCTAAAATGATAATGGTTGTGAATAGTTCACTACCCGTTAAGTTGTAAACGGCGATGCGATCATTCAACAAATTGTGCGAGTCATACAGTTCGAAAAAGTAAGCAGCAATGAGATAGTTGAATATTGCTTCAAGTAGACCAGAAGGTACTTACTTGAACGGAGTGCATAATGATGTTGTCGATTGAGCCAAAACTTTGTTTTAGGGATCTGTTAGCAGTGAAACTTACCGTACGCTTTAAACTTCCTTCATGTGTTGGACTCGGCTCATCAGGTTTGTTTGTTTGTTTGTTTGTTCGTTTGTTTCTTTGCAGCAGCAGTAGCAGCATCAGCAGCACATTGCTAATAAGCGTGAGATGCATTTAAGGCGCATACTGTGTTTGCGTAGCCACTGCTCTACTTCAGACGGCTGGCCTTATTCCTGCACCGTCAATCCCTGTAAGTTGCGATTTTGATTTTAATCAGTGATTGATTCAGAATTCCTCTATTGCCATATGCGCAAGAGTGCAATGTATGGTTGCAATAAATGCTCTTTCACTCGATTCAGACAGATGATGAGGGAACGTTAACGTGGGAAGATCATCATTTGGATATGATTCGTAAATGGTCAGCTGCAGCCGAATCCTTGATTCATGGTCGTGCTTCGGGTCTGGACGCTGCTGTTTGCACCTATGGTATTTCATAATTCAGCTATTCTAGTCTTTTCGTATAATTTATCATCGAAACACTTCTTGTGAGAGTCCGTCCTTTCAATGCATCGTCATCACGCATTTCAGTCTACCCGATCTGAGGGTGATTTTGGTGAATTCAAAGGTTGAAAGGAATACATCTCGAATGGTACAGACGGTTAAAGAACGATTGAAGAGGGTCAGTGTATTTTTTTTCGGTGGCAAAAAATTTCCACTATTTTTATTTTCGTAATGTTGTTCCAACAGCAATTTCAAAGTGCAAAAAGGGATGTTATCATTTGAGAATTGATTTCAGAAGAATTTATTATCGAATGCCGAATATGAAGAGTAGTGTTTCAGTTTCCGGATGTGGTAGAAGGGATATTCAACTCGATTGATGCAATATCTCGAGATGCCACTCGAATCTTGCATCGACCACTCGAAGTGAACGGTGACTCTGAAAAGCTGGTGAATGGTGGTGGTGGAGGGACTGCGTTTAATGCTGGTGTTATGCCATGTTCTGATTATGATCACCACTCCTTACAGGTTGTCAATACTTCAACCTTGTCGTTGCCGAAATTCTATTGAAATTGTTGTTAGCTTTCCTCGGAAGAATTGCACTGAAGACGAATGA